TTGGGGTACGGGGGGCGGGGGGGGAGCTAACTTAATTTTTACTAGCTATTGCCCTTGTACATGGCAAAGGAAGTCGAAACATTTATACCTGAAAGAGCTGATTCTCATCCCCTAACTTGATGTTATAACTAGCTATTGCCCTTGTACATCACAAAGGAAGCAACTTTGTTTAATGATGTGCCAAGATTTTAGGAGTCTACTTCCATATCCTGGGTAAAGTATTTAGCTCTTGTATAGGGTGCATTCCTATATTTTTGCCCTTGTCCATGTTAGAAGTCTTGATTTCTTGTGTCCATGCTCAAAAAAGGGGATCCAGGATTTTAAACCGGTGGGTCAGAGTACCAGTGTTCCCAGTATTGTGATTTTTGACAATAGGTGTGAACTTAGAAAGCATATGTCGTTCAAAATCTATGAACTACTAAAGGCAGGGCAATGCACCACTACCAGAAGGCTGAATAATCATCAATTGGTTGCAGTAAATAGGATTAATAATTGGATATCCCTGCTTATATTTACATGAATAGTTGAAATGGATAAGCAGACATGTCTGAAAACCAAAAAAAAAATCTTTCACCTCATTTTGTTTTAGACTAATTTTATTAGTGTTGTGTTTGGTATGACGGACATCATTCCATGGAAAATGTTCTCTTGGAAAATATCATTTTGTTCGGTTGGTGAATGAAAAGTATTTTTTCAGAAAACATATAAATATATATTAAAGATTCATAATAATATCATCAAATTGGAGAGTATTTTGATGAAACTTTTGAGTACTAAATATTAATAATGATATTGTCCAAGTGTTAGTTGAAGCGAGTAATATGAAGATAAAATTAAGATAGTCGTAACTCTTAAGGAAAATGACTTTTGTCCATAAGCGAGGGAAGTCATTTTCTCCCTTTTGATAGAAAATGTTTCCATGATAAATGACTTCTGTCTTTCCGAACTCCAGAAAATGACTTCCGAAAAACATTTTCCATGAAGTCATTTTCTCTCATACCAAACCTAAACGAAGCATCCTTCTTCTAATAATGATTTTATTAAATGTGCAGAGCGGACAAGTGTGTGCTGGCTTCTTCAGGATTTCAAGCTGATGTGGGAGCTTTGCAAAAGGTTTTGGCAGCAAGGCATCTGGTAAACTCTTGTTCAATACGTCTTTTTATGTGGAGTATTAAGCCATTGAGAACAAAAGCCCCTAGTTGTATTGTACTCTTTAGTTATTCTTTTGATTGTTGATGTTGCTTTATGTTCTGCCAAAACGGAAACAGCAGACACTTGTCTAATAAGATTTGAAGTCGTTGATTGTAGTTTCTGACCTATAGTATGAAGTTTGCATTAGTTACCCATGTTACTAGGATTAGCTTTGAACTTCAGTTATGGAACATGTGAATGGAATGTGGTTGTGCGAAACAGAAGATTGGAGTTTGAGTTTTTGATTTGTTGTTGTTTTTAACCGAAGTCTACTTTCCTTAAAAGGAAAACTCTGCGGTATTTAATTTTTTATCACGAAGCTCTAAGGTATATTGTATAACACAAAAAGCTACAATGCTCCTTCTTCCATTCATCCTGATAACTCTTGCTTGATTTTCCTTATTGATAAAGATGTTTTCTGACTTTCTTAAATAACCAACATAGTAATCTTTGCTTCTCATTTTAGTAGCTTAACTCTATATGATAAATTGTTTTGACTCTTCTTTTTATGATTGTGCCAATTAGATGCTGGTCATTCAATTTGCAAAGGAGTATTATGTGCTTTCTCTATCTTTTTATCGGTAAAAGAAGTATTATGTGCTTTCTCTGTCTGTGGCTTTAATGTGGAAAGACATTTGAAATTATTATGTGCTTTACATTTTGAGATTTCTGCTGTTTAGACGTTGGAACTTAACTCCTAATATAATATTGGGAGTGATATTCTACTTTTTATTCTTTGAAAATAGATCTATCAGCATCAGCACAATAAGCAGATGAGCTGCCCAGCTATGGGTCAGCTACTTTCGAACACCCTATACTACAAACGTTTCTTTCCCTACTATGCATTCAATGTTCTAGGTGGCCTTGACAATGAAGGTAACAGATTATGGCTGGAATGCTGTGCCAAGTTTGTATTTTTGTATTCATGGCTGTGAAGATGCTTCTTCTTATTTTATTCTTAAATTCTCGTAGGAAAGGGCTGTGTTTTTACATATGATGCTGTTGGATCCTATGAGAGGGTTGGATATAGTTCTCAAGGTTCAGGTTCAACTTTGATCATGCCTTTCCTTGACAACCAATTAAAGTCTCCTAGCCCTCTTTTGCTGCCTGCCAAGGTTCGGTTGATACTTTAATTTTACGAAATTTTCTTTGAAATTAAGGAAGTTTCTAGTCCTGTCAACTTCACCTAAGAATTGTGAGAAAAGAAAAAGGTCTATCAAAAAAGATAATTGTGAGAAAAGAAAAAGATTATTTCTTGCTAACAAAGTCCCCATGACCTGCACAGGATGCTGTAACTCCACTTTCTGAATCAGAAGCCATTGACTTGGTGAAGACATGTTTTGCTTCAGCAACAGAAAGGGATATATATACTGTAAGTTATTTATGTGCTGCGCTATCAATTAAATGACACAATAAGATTTAGGAGCTGTGATTTTGAGGAACATTTGGGTTAATTATGCGCGACCGAGTTTTACAAGTGCTCGTCTTCTCTTCTCTTTTGTCCTCTTTTTTACTCTTCTTTTTTGTTTACTGTTGGCTATGGGAGGTTGCTTATTAATAATCATTGCTCGGAAGTGATATCTTACTAATACTCTCTTTTTTTGAGCCAAAGCTTTTCTGGGGTTTTATTTTCCTATCGATCTGGTGCTCAATGGATGATTTAGTTGTATAATATCAGCCGTGAGAAGTTTTGTTTGAGAAGTTTATGTAGCTTTTATCATCATCCTATTTCTTGAATATGTTGCTTTCATATTGCAGGGTGACAAGCTGGAAATAGTCATATTAAATGCTGATGGTGTTCGTAGGGAAGAAATGGATCTCAGGAGAGACTGATTTCTCTTTTTTAGATTCCTGTGATTTATGTTTGAATTAGTTTGGAAGGCGTAAATGCATATGGACAATGAACCCCAAGATGACCCTTTCTACGGCTGTACGCACAGCAGTTGTTTATTGTTGATCATCTATGTACTGTAAACTGCAATTCCTATTACCTGGAAATGTTATGCTGAATTATGAAAGAACTGAATGCTTAAACTTTAGTCTGGTAAAACTTAATCTTTAGATGGAATTACTAGCCCTTTTCACCCAAATGAATTTCCTGTGCTACCGAACACGCCTACTTTGACAATCTTTTTGATAATATATGTAATTAGTAGTGGCTATAGTCTAAATATTTCATGAATTTCAAGGTAGGGATTTTGTAAACTTTGGATGGAGTTATAACTAATATGTTAACTAACCGATTATGATATAATGGACTGGATTCTGCCTTTTTTGCAACACCTCGATGCGTCATGAGGGTGAAAGTTCAAGAATTAGTTTTCCTTCTTCAAGGGTTCATTTTGTTTCTTAATCTTAAATTCTTTTATCATTTCAACTTCTTAACTTGTATTCGACGGAACTTGATTCCTTATCTCTTCCAGTTATAACTTGAGTTTCTTAAAAAATGATGACAAGCTCAAGCATGACATGAGCAAATTATACATTTTTTTTTGAAAAAATATTATTACCAAGGCACTAATTGTTCCTTCATAATTCTTTTAGAGCAGCTTCTGGATCATTAATTGACTTCCTACACTGCAAAGGCATCAATAACGTGTCACATGATCAATGAAGAGTTGACAATATAGCTAATTGTGCTTCTTTTTACTCCATCTTGCAGTGTTTTTTCCTCTTTTCTATTGTCTAAAAGAGGGGGGGTTGGGGAAGGGTGATACCTATAAATTTCGAGAGAGAGAGAGAGAAGGCAATGAAAAGCACTAGTCTTTTGGTAGCTTTGTTGTTGGTAGTAATCATGGCAATTTTCAGCTATTCTGCGGATGCTGCCTTTTGTTTCGACATATTCGCTGCGTGCACTTGCCTATCCTGCGATGGAAATCAAGTACAAGACTACGTTATATGGTTAAAATAGCACGGGCTAACCAGTTTTTGGACTGGTCATTCAAAAATAGCCAGCGTTTGCAAAGTCATTGAAAAATAGCCACTATTTTGCTGCAACAGAGACCGGTCCAGCATAATATACTGGAGATCGGTGTACCTGTGTGAACTTCCAGCATATTATGCTGGAACTCCAACACGCGGAAAGTTCCAGCATAATATACTGGAGATTGGAGCACCTGTGTATGAATTTCCAGCATATTATACTGGACCGGTATATAATGCTGGAACTCCATTATAATATGCTGGAGTTCCAGTATACTTATGCTGGAACTCCAGTATATTATGCTGGAGTATTTTCCGGATTTTGAACAGTATTTTCGTTCAGATTTATCTTTACATGAAAAGTAGCTAAATTTCGATTACTTTTGAAACTGTGACTATTTTTGAATGACCACTTGTAAATCTGGCTATTTTTGAATTTCACCCCGTTATATGCTGTGCCTATTGCTAAGGAATACTCTCTCCTTAACGGTCAACCACTCGATATGAAGCTTAAGTTATATATACCGTCAACGTTAGTAATTTTACACCATCAAGTCATATATTGTAGCAGGTGTCTGTCTAACTTTCAAGACTACAAATCCCACCATTTAAGCAAGCTTACTTATAATTAGTGACCTGATAGTATAAAAATTCCTTGGACTGACGGTGTACATAACATAAACTCTAATGTTTTAGCTCTTTTACTTATATGTATCTGTAATAAAATAGTAGATTGGGTGCTGTTCGTACCACCTGCTGTAGGAGGAATTTTCCTTATTGGTCAACCGCTGGATGTGCAATCTTTCTCTTATCTATTTGGATCTTTTATTTATGTACTGAAATGTATCTGAAATAAACTGTAACTTAATTTGGATGTTGTTTACTTCGCACCATCTACGTCGCCTTGTACGTTAGAAATGTTAGCAATCAATTCATCTCTTTTCCCTTTGAATTCTATTCCGTTTAAGCACAATTTCATTATGGCACGGCCTCCATCCTCATATGGTGACTATGTTTTATCGAGTATTCTCGCTTCCACTATTGTGACAATAGGTGCGAACTTAGAAAGCATATACGTCTTTCAAAACCCATTAACTATTGAAGGCAGGTTCAAGTAGCACCACGTCGGAAATAAAATAAGAGAAGGTTTTTTGACATGGTTTGGTTATCCCTTGCGTCGACCGCAGATGTAGTGGTTAATAGATGTGAAACCATAATAACAGCAATCCAGTAAATTCCATTAGTGGGGTTTGGGGAGGGTGGTGTGTACGCAGACCTTACTCCTACCCCGAAGGAGTAGAGAGGTTGTTTCCGAAAGACCCTCGGCTCAAGAAAACAAAAAGACAAAAGGAGACAATATTAGTATCACCACAGAAATCATAGGAAAAATAGGAACAACATGAAATTCATTAGAAAGATGCAAAGCAAAAGCGGTAGCCAGTAAATAGGCCATGCACTAGAAAGCGAAATAGTAAGACACAACATTGCCACTAGCTATCTTAGAGAAAACCCTACCAGACTAGTCTCACAAAGGTACGAAGTAAGGCAAGACTCAACTACCTACTAACCTACAACCCTGATTCCCGACATCCACATCTTCCTATCAAGTGTCATGTCCTCGAAAATTTGAAGCCTCGCCATATCCTGCCTGGTCACCTCTCCCCAATATTTCTTAGGACGCCCTCTACCTCTTCTCGCGCCCTCCACAACCAGTCGCTCACACCTCCTTACCGGAGCATCTGGGCTTCTCCTCTTAACATTCCTGAACCATCTGAGCCTCGCTTCCCGCATCTTGGCATCAATGGGAGCCACGTGCACCTTCTCCCGAATAACATCATTTCTAATTTTATCCATCCTAGTGTGCCCACACATCCACCTCAATATCCTTATTTCTGCTACTTTAATCTTCTGGATATGTGAGTTCTTAACAGGCCAACACTCAGCCCCATGCATCATGGCCGGTCTAACCACTGCTTTATAAAACTTACCTTTGAGTAACAGTGGCACTCTCTTGTCACACAGGACTCCAGATGCTAACCTCCACTTCATCCATCCTACCCCAATACGGTGTGTGACATCTTTGTCGATCTCCCCCCCCTCCTAGATAACCGACCCAAGATACTTGAAGCTGCCTCTACTTGGGATGACCTGTGATTCAAGCCTCACATCCACGCCCACTTCCCCCGGCTCAGCGCTAAACTTACACTCCAGGTATTTCGTCTTCGTCCTGCTCAGCTTGAAACCCTTAGACTCAAGAGCCTGTCTCAAAACTTCCAGCCTCTCGTTAATACCGGCTCGGGACTCATCAATCAGAACTATATCATCGGCGAATAGAATGCACCATGGCACATCCCCTTGAATATGGTGTGTTAACGCGTCCATCACCAGGGCGAATAAGAATGGACTGAGCGCAGAACCTTGGTGTAACCCTAATACAACCGGAAAATGCTCAAAGTCGCCTCCTACTGTCCTAACCCGAGTCTTATCTCCATCATACATGTCCTTAATCGCCATAATGTAGGGAGCCGACACACCTTTTGCCTCCAAGCATCTCTAGAGAACTTCTCTAGGAACCTTGTCATACGCTTTCTCAAGGTCAATAAACACCATGCGCAGATCCTTCTTCCTCTCTCTGTACAGTTCCACCAACCTCCTAACAAGGTGTATAGCTTCTGTAGTTGAACGACCCAGCATGAACTCGAACTGGTTATCGGATACAGACACTATCATCCTCACCCTCTCTTCAACCACCCTCTCCCACACTTTCATGGTATGACTCAGTAATTTGATACCCCTATAATTGTTACAACTCTGGAGATCACCTTTGTTTTTATACAGTGGAACCACCGTACTCCACCTCCACTCATCCGGCATCCTCTTCGCTTTAAAAATAACATTAAACAACCCAGTTAACCACTCCAAACCTGCTCTCCTCACACACTTCCAAAATTCGACCGGAATCTCGTTTGGCCCTGTCGTTCTGCCCCTACTCATCTTACGCATAGCTCCCACGACCTCCTCAACCTTGATACGCCTGCAGCAGCCAAAGTCACGGTGACTCTCGAAATGCTCCAATTCGCCTAGCACAATATCCCGATCCCCTTCTTCATTCAGAAGTTTATGAAAGTAAGTCTGCCATCTCTTCTTAATCTGGGCATCTTTCATCAATACTCTACCATCTTCGTCCTTGATATATCTCACTTGGTCCAAATTCTGAGCCTTCCTCTCTCTCAACTTGGCTAGCCAAAATAACTTCTTCTCCCCGCCTTTTTCCCCCAGTTCCTCATACATACGACCATAAGCCACAGTCTTAGCCTCCGTGACTGCCAGCTTAGCTTCCTTCCTAGCTACCTTATAACTCTCCATGCACGCTCGCCTCTCCTCCTCACCTATGCTCCCCACTAACTTCAGGTACGCCGCCTTCTTCGCTTCCGCTTTACCTTGGACCACTTCATTCCACCACTAGTCTCCTTTGTGCCCACCATAGACGCCCATCGAGACCCCTAACACTAGTGAGTGAAAATACTAAAAGGGGAAAAGATAAACCTAAAACCACTCTTAGCACGTAAAAGGTAGGGCACAATCAGAAAAACAAAACATATATAGGCAATACCTACATTGAAAATATATATTAGTCATGTTAACACTTTTGCTTGACGTCCTATACTTTTCTGGGAGTTGTTTAGCATTTCAGAGTTTATACAATCAATAAAAAATATAAATATCTTCTAGTAGTTTTTTTAAATTTTGTATAATGTTTACATAATCAATTTAATTGTACTAACATGATTAATGAGGATTCATATAATCGATACCAGAAGTTTCAGTAAGACGATCTTTGCAGTTAAGGCTCAAGCTCCTCCAACATTTGATGAAGTCAATGACCAGCTCGTTCTTCATTTGGCGGGAATTTGTAAGCCCAATCATGCTCATGATTCGTCTTGTGATGTAGAAGAGGTTGAGGAATACCTGCTCTAGTTGCCCCCAACTATCGATGGAACCAGATTCAAGGTCTGTGTACCAACAAATGCATTCCCTTTGAGAGATCAAATAAACTATTGACAAGATAACCGTCGTATGTTCCAGTATTATTACAAGTTTTAATAAAATGCACTACTGTTGTTTTGGATTTCTCTTACCGTTGAATTGCTACAACTTAGGAGGTTGATAACCAGCTTGCATTCTAAAGTTATCAGTTCTTTGCATATATGGCTTTGCACATGTGAGAGAATATCTGGCTTGTGGCTCTATTTATCTTTGATAGTCGCAATGGTAAAGTCCTTCAATTGTTCAAAGGAAACTAGATCTTTGGTGAAGACTTGGATTTTCTTGGTTGTCGTTGCTTGGTTTGCGGAGGACTCTTCTTTCTCTTTTGGACTTTGAAGCTTTAAAGGTGTTTTTGCGAGTTTTGCTTCCATGATGATCTCCACTTTATATTTTACCTTGGTGATTTTAGCATCTTGATCTTCCAAGTATTTTGATAGGCCTTCAACTGCTTTTGTTAAATTTGCAGGTTGTTCTTCTACTATGGAAGCTTCTATCACCATCGCTTCTGTGACCATCATAGATGACAAAGAATAGTAAGGATCATCACTTGGATAGAACTTGGATTAAGGAGAGATGATAGAAGACTGGAGCAGCTCTAACGCTCAAAACATCATCATTTTTTTGCATGACGCATTGTTGGACAAGCAATGTCGTTCTTGTGACAGGTTGAGTCGAGCCAAAGTTCTTTCTACCACCTCAGTAGTGTTGTTCCCTTTTTCTAGCATGTACAAAGAAGATATCCCTTCTTTGGGAGAAAATAATATGAAAACATGAGATAACTTGGACGGTACTTGAAGTACTAGTTGTCCCAGCATTTCGGCTTTACTCTTTTTGGCCAACAATCTCCAAGGGAACTTCTAATCAACTTTTGGATTGAGCCTCCTCAGTAATATCATATCTGGAGTAGATTTTTATTGTGAAAATTTTAGTGTTCTTGAACTTTGAAGAAAATAGATGAGAGGCAAAGATTGTTCCACCAAGCATGCCAAAATTTATAACAACTAAATTTTGTTCCTGAAAAATACTATAATCAAGACAAAAAAAATAGTGGCAAATAATGATATTGTATTTCAATCATTTCTGCGGGTTACAATCTTTAGCAATCTTAAACAAAAAGATATAATCCTCTTATCCTCACGACCATCAACTCAAGGGCATTGCATGTTCTTGAATTGATGAATTACTTCTTGTTAAATTTTTACCATGAATACGGAGTTAGGCTTTGTTCACAAAAATAGAGGTATGAAAGCTTGCATCTCACCACTTAGAGAGGAAGACTTCTTGATACGTGAAAGACTTGCGGATCACCATTGGAGAGGAGAACTTCTCTATGTATTTTCTGATCCTTTTTTTAGCCTTATGGAGATCACTATTTATAGTTCTAGCGAAGGGAGTTCCTGATAAGTACATATTCTTTTTCCTTCAGTTTGATTGGTCCACATAAGTCATCAAAGCTATCACCAAAGTTATGTGAAAAGACTGCATGTGATTGGTTGAACCATGTCATTTGAACACTTAGCAACATTTGATTGGTTGTTATATTGACTTAGCATGCTACATCATTTATGCACGTGGCATGATTTTATTAGGCATTTGACCTTTGACTAATGGAGCGGGCTCATTTTTTTGGAGAGAAACTCAATGAACTAGCCCAATGAATTTGAACTTGAATTTAATGAGGAATTTTCAGAAACCACTATTGTTTAGTGACTATTAACTTCCTATAGCAACTATATACATAATTACTTCTTATAGCTACTATTTAGTTGTTATGCGACTGTATTCGTTGTATTCGCACTATTGTATTCATGAATACAATAGCGAAATTCGCCTAAAAAATAGGGGAATCCAGCTATGCGACTGTATTTGCTGTTTTTGCGCTACTGTATTCATGAATGCAGTAGCAGAATTCGCCTAAAGAAAATAGGGGAGTCCAGCTGTTTAATAACGGAAAGAGGATCAATTAGCATGTATTACTCCTAATTTAACTCAACAAAATCAATTCTACATAGATTTGCTGCTACGCGACTGTATTCGTGCTACTGTATTCATGAATACAGTAGCAGAATTCGCCTAAAAAATAGTGGAGTTCAGCTGTGCGACTGTATTCACGCTACTGTATTCATGAATACAGTAGCAGAATTCGCCTAAAAAATAGTGGAGTTCAGCTGTGCGACTGTATTCGCGCTACTGTATTCATGAATATAGTAGCAGAATTCGCCTAAAAAATAGGACAGTCTAGCTGTTAAATTATGGAAAGAGGATCAACTAGCGTGTCATTCCTAATTTAACTCATCAAAATCAATTCTACATAAACTTTGCTGTTACTGTATTGTATTCCATGTATTCGCGCGACTGTATTTATAAATAAGGTGAGGTAATCAAGAAATAAGGGTGTATATCATTCTATTCAATTCGATCGTATACATTGTATTCAATTCACAAATATTCATTATTCACTATTATACATTGTATTTAATTCACCGTATTCAATTCGACTATATTCAAACAGCAAGAAATCACAAGACTCAGTGATATTCGGCTGTAAAAAATACAGACCTTCGAAATAATAAATACAAGCAAAATAATAATGTATTTATACAAAAATACATTATATTGAGTGTATTTGTACATAATACAATGTATTTGTATCGTCGTATGTGACTAAAATAGCAAAGAAGAGAAGAAATTTGCCGGAGATGGCGTTTTCCGGCCAACCAAAATATTCTATACATTGTGTTAAAACAAAAAATGGAGACGAACAAAAATCCGCCCCTCAAATCTTCTCCGGCATAGCCATGGCCAGATCTGCTCGCCTAAGAAAGAGGATAAGCCAATAGTGGATGATGACACCGACGATTCTGATGACGATCTCAATGACGACAATGATTCTGACGCCTACTGTTCGCCTACTCCCTTTTCTCTTTAGATTATATTCTCTTTGATTCAGAAAATCCACCATAGCCACCAAAAATGGCTGCTACGACAACTGCCTTGATGGAACAGGGAGAGAGATTTGAGGGAGAAGAGAGAGGATTGAGAATCTTGCTGATAGAGAGAGAGAAGGAAGAGAGAGAGAAAGATTATAATTGGCATAATTCACTCCTCAATGGTAGGGTATAAAATAAATACCTATTTTGCTATAAAATAGAAAAGGTAGCTATAAGTAATAATATTTTGAAATTATTTTGGTTTATAATAAATAGGGTGTAATAGTAATTTAATCTTTGTTTGGGCTTGACATTTCTTAAATTTAGGAATTTATACTTTAATCCCACAAAATTTACATGTCTACAATAACCAAAGCCCTCAACGTTGGTTTATTCTCTTAGTTATTCTTTTGATTGTTGATGTTGTGGTATGTCCTGCAAAGACAGAAACTGCAGCCACTGTCTAAGAAGATTCGAATGTATCTTGTGACCTAGTATATAGTTTGAAGTTGGCACAAGTTACTCCTGTTACTTGGATTGGCAATGAACTTAAGCTTACACTCCACTTGTGTATGGAACAGAGGGAGGAAGGGATGTCAGTTGACACTTCTCGTACCTATGTGGCTCCGCCACTATGAACAAACAATTGTTAATTATATTGTTGATCATCTGTGCATGTACTGTAAGCTGTAGTTGTTATCTCATTGTATTCAAAACCGGAAAATCAGAAAATTAGTTTAAGAAAACAAAACAGAAAAAATTCTGAGCCCGCAAGTTTCTTGTGTGTCCTTAAGAAATTTAATCCCCTCACAGTTGCCCAGGGTTTCGGATTAATTCCTCCTAGGATAGAACGGAATAACTATTTTGTGATAGGGGCACTTCAAATCAAAGAACTGCAACGAACTCAAATGGCGGAGCAAACCACACAAAAATGCTTGCGTTTTTGCTTTGAAAAACAATGCAGAATGCAGAAGATAGAGGGGAGAGATTTTCAGATTTTCGGTGGTGAAAAATGAGGTCGAGCCTCTATATTTATAGCCAACAGAGTTGAGTCCCAAAAGGTGCAAAGGTGCCTGTTCGTTTGAAGAGGTATCTATTCGACAGAATTTTTGTTAAACGGAATAGCTGGTCGCAAATTTGACCATTGGAAATAATGTCGCGAATTTAATATTTTTTCGCGCAAAAAATATTAGGAAAGAAAATATTAAATGATAAAAATGGAAAATAAATTTGGTCCAAAAAATTATCAATCAATCATATCAATTGACCAAATCCAAATCCAAATCCGAAGTCGAGCAAGCGACGACGACGACGGCGCGAGGCTTGCTCTCTTCTCAACTCTTTAAGAGCTAGAAGAATTGATTCTATATATAAGAACAAGAATTTTCCTCTTCCTATCCAATAAGGGACAAAGTTCCTTTGTAAAAGGGACTAATTCAAAATTTTATTTCCCTCCATTTTTTTTTCCACCATTTTTCATTCACACCTATTTTGTTTAATTAACAAAAGGCAACAATCCCCCACATGAATGGGGAATGGTTGTCCGGAAAAATTATGCATGAAAAACTGTGTGATTTGCAAGTAAGTATTAATCGCATCCGGATAATTAGGTTTCCCTTAGAACTTTTCGTAGTGAACATATGTCGGATATACTCGATCAATCAGTAGATTTGATGTCTTTGAACCGTCAAACTTTGGTGTATACCTAGACATCCATATGTCACACAATCAACCCTTAACCGTCTTTGGTTCTCATTGTTGTATTCGTTTCAGCCATGAACACCGCCTAGTTTCATAAGTGCGTAGAGAACTGGCCTTACAAAATTCTCCTTGAAGCGGCTTACACTTCACACTTACATAGGTGATTCCTAAACGTGTTATTCCGTAGATACACTATTTGATATACCCCGTATAAAACTTAGAAACCATTAAAAAGCCTTAACGCTTTATCCTTGAGACTGAACATTGTCTTCATCATGAGAATGGACTAAAGATTTATTTGACAATGTTGAACTGTCACTAATAACTTTGTTTGATCTCCTTGAACCTAGACCTTGGGATCTCCAGTCTTATAGGTAGAGTTACCGCCACAGTGACTTTTCCTCGGCCATAGTCCTATTCTCTTTGATGATTTCTCAACTGCCTCTCTAGTTAGGCCTTTTGTAAGCGGATCTGATACATTATTTTTTGACTTTACATAGTCAATTGTGATAATTCCACTAGAGAGTAGTTGCCTAATAGTATTATGTCTTCGTCATATGTGACGAGATTTCCCGTTATACATAACACTCCCCGCCCTTCCTATTACCGCATGACTATCGCAATGTATGCATATAGGTGTCAAAGGTTTGGGCCAAAATAAAATATCTTCCAAGAAATTTTGGAGCCATTCAGCTTCTTCACCGGCCTTGTCTAAAGCTATAAACTCAGAATCCATTATAGAGCGGGCGATGCATGTCTATTTGGACGACTTCCAAGACACTAGACACTGCTCCTCTACCATTGGTAAAAACGTATCCACTTGTGGATTTTGATTCTATTGATTCGGTGATCCAATTTGCATCACTATATCCCTCAATAACTGCGGGATAATTATTGTAATATAATGCATAGTCTTGGGTATATTTCAAATACTCCAATACTCGTTTCACTGTTATCCAATGAGCTTTGTCGAGATTACTTGTATATCGACTAAGATTACTAATCGCACAAGCTATATCAGGTCGTGTACAATTCATAATGTACATCAAACTTCCCAACACTCAAGCATATTGCAATTGAGACTTGCTTTGACCTTTATTCTTCACAAGCGTATAGTTTAAATCAATTGGTGTTCTTGCAACTTTAAAGTTCAAGTATTTAAACTTTTCAAGTACCATTTTATTATAATGAGATTGGGACAAAGCTAGACCTTTAGGAGTCTTAAGGATTTTAATTCCCAAAATTGAATCGGCAACTCCTAAGTCTTTCATATCAAACTAACTAGTAAGCAAGCATTTATGTTAGCAATGTCATTGCTCATTATCAACATATCATCCACATATAAACAAACAATGACTATTTGATTTGGAGTATTCTTAATGTAAACACATTTGTCACACTCATTGATCTTGACACATTTGACAGCATTATTTGGTCAAATTTCGCATGCCATTATTTTGGTGCTTGTTTTAGTCCATAAAGTGACTTAACAAGTCGACACACCTTCTTTTCTTTTCTGGGAACTACAAACCCTTCAGGTTGTTCCATATAAATTTCTTCCTCCAAACCTCCATTTAAGAAGGTTGTCTTCACATCCATCTGATGGATTCGAAGGCCATACATGGCGGCTAATGCTATTAACACTTGGATAGATGTAATCCTTATTACAGGCGAGTATGTGTCAAAGTAATGAAGACCTTCTCGTTGTCTAAACCCTTTAACAACTGATCTTGCCTTATATTTGTCAATAGTACCATTAGCTTTCATTTTCCTTTTGAAAATCCACTTAGAACCTAAAGGTTTATTTCCTGGAGGAAGATCAACCAATTCCCAAATATGATTACTTAATATGGATTCTATCTCACTATTGACTGCCTCATTCCAATATTGTGCTTTCGAGGAAGACATTCCTTCTTTGAATGTTTGAGGCTCATTTTCCAATAAGAATGCCAGAAAATCTGGTCTAAAGGAAGTAGCTGTCCTTTGACGTTTACTACGCCTTGAATTTTCCTCATCAAAAGTACTTTCATTTGCTTCTTCCTGAGGTCGCTTAGATTTTTCACTAGACGACTCACATTTTCTTTTATACGGATAAATATTTTCAAAGAATTCAGCATTATCTGATTTGCTTATCGTATTAATACGAATGTCGGGATTTTCTGATTTATGAACCAGAAAATGATATGCCTTACTATTTGTTGCATATCCTATGAAAATGCAATCAATGATTTTTGGTTCAATCTTTACCCTTTTGGGTTTAGGGACTTGCACTTTAGCCAAACACCCTTAGACTTTAAAATATTTAAGTTGGGTTTCCTTCCTTTCTATTTTTTATATGGAATGGATTGCGTTTTTCTATGGGGAACTCGATTGAGTATTCGGTTAGCTGTAAAAATAGCTTCCCCCCCACAAGTTCTAAGGTAAATCAGAACTTATTAACAATGCATTCATCATCTCCTTTAACGTTCTATTCTTTCTTTCCGCAATTCTATAGATTGCGGAGAGTAAGGGGCAGTTGTTTGGTGAATAATGCCATATTCCAAACATATTTCTTCAAAAGGAGATTCATATTCGCCGCCCCTATCACTTCTTATCATTTTGATCTTTTTGTTTAGTTGCATTTCAACTTTATTTTTGTATTGCTTGAATGCATCAATTGCTTCATCTTTACTATTAAGTAAGTAAAAATATAGCAATATCTAGTACTGTCATCAATAAAAGTTATGAAATACTTTTTCCCACCGCGAGATGGTATTGGCTTCATGTTGCAAATATCTATGTAAATTAAGTCTAAAGGATTTGAATTCCTTTCAACTAACTTATAAAGACGCTTAACATACTTTGATTCCACACATATTTGACATTTCGAGTTATTGCATTCAAACTTAGGCAATACTTCCAAATTAATTATTTTTCGCAAAGTTTTGAAGTTGACGTGGCCTAACGTTCATGCCATAATTTATTCGACTCAAGCAAGTAAGAAGAAGATGAAATTTTATTCATATCAATGGCAATTACATTGAGTTTGAAAAGGCCCTTAGTAAGGTAACCTTTTCCTACATACATTTCAGTCTTACTAACTACAACCTTGTCGGAAACAAAAACACACTTAAAGCCACTCTTGACTAGAAGTGATGTCGAGACTAAATTCTTCCGCATTTTAGGAACATGAAGGACATCATTTAGAGTCACAATCTTGCTAGAAGTCATCTTCAAAGCTATCTTGCCCGTTCCTTTAATTTTTGTAGTAGCGGAATTTGCCATAAAAAATGTCTCGTCGGGTCCAGCGGGAGCATAAGAAGTAAATAACTCCTTGTTAGCACAAACATGACGAGTTGCCCCCGAATCAATCCACCATTCTCTAGGATTTCTGACTAGGTTGCATTCCGAAAGCATGGCACATAAATCGTCTATTTCATCATTCTTCTCAATCATGTTTGCTTGGCTTTTCTTCTTGTCCTTCTTTGGTGCACGACATTCAGCAGCCTTGTGTCCAAGCTTTCCACAATTGTGGCAATTACCTTTGAACTTCTTTTTGCTTGGGTAATTCTTTGGTCCAGACGGCTTCTTTCTCTTTTTGCTCGTCGAAGCTTCTTCAACAATATTTGCACCCATTATTTTTGAATTTTCACGAGACTTCTTTTCTGCAGTCTTGTTGTCCTCTTCAATCTTTAGGCGAACAATAAGGTCTTCCAATGTCATCTCCTTGCGCTTATGTTTCAAGTAGTTTTTAAAGTCCTTCCACACCGTAGGCAACTTTTCAATAAATGCTGCAACTTGAAACACTTCATTTATGACCATACCTACAATCATAAATTTAGGATTAATAATATAATCAATATCTTTAATAAAAATATTGATTCGATTTATACCTTCGGCAAGGAGGTCATGTACAATGACTTGCAGTTCTTGAACTTGAGTTATGACATACTCACTGTCAACCATTTTAAAGTCCAAGAACTTTGCGGCAAGAAACTTCTTAATTCCAACATCTTCCATCTTGTACTTCTTTTCAAGAGCGTTCCATATCTCTTTCGAAGTTTCCATGATGCTGTACACATTGTACAAGCCATCTTCCAAACAACTCAATATATGATTTTTGCACAAGAAGCCAAAATGCTTCCATGCCTCCGTGACCACAAACCAGTAATGACCCGGCCGTTTTGAGAGAAATAGCCTCGATTCCCTATTTACTACTTTCCCTGTATCTTTTTCTACTTATGTGACTTTCCGGGAGGTTTTTTTTGTTGTTACGGAGTGATTTGGGACACTTAGTCCCTAAAACGGAAGCTTAAGTTCTAGGATTTTGACCGTAGTTGGTACTGTATGAAGACGACTCTGTAATGAAGTTTTGTTGGTTCCGTTAGCTCCATTGGGTGATTTTGGACTTAGGAGCGCATACGAATTGTGTTTTGGAGGTCTGTAGCTGAATTAGGCTTGAAATGGCGAAAATTGCATATTTGGGAAGTTTGACCGGAAGTGGACTTTTTGATATCGGGGTCAGATTCCAATTCCGGAAGTTGGATTAGGTCCGTAATGTCAATTATGACTTGTGTGCAAAATTTGGGATCAATCAGACGTGATTTGATAGGTTTCGGCATCGGTTGTAGAAGTTTAAAGTTTCAAAGTTCATTAAGTTTGGATTGGAGGGTGATTCGTGTTTTTATTGTTGTTTGATGTCTTTTGAGGGCTCGACTAAGTTCGTATGGTATTTTAGGACTTGTTGGTATCTTTGGTTGAGGTCCCAGGGGCCTCGGGTTGATTTCGGATGGTTAACAGATCGAATTGGAAGTTGGAGGAATGGCTGAAGCATAGCAGCTTCTGGTGTAATTGCGCCTGCGGTGGGGTTGACCGCAGGTGTGAACTCGTATGTGCAGAAGGAGGAACGCATGTGCGGTTTGGAGAATACTGGTCTGTGGGCGCAGGTGCGAGGTTAGGACCGCAGAAGCAGAGCTGCTCATGCGGGGATTGCAGAAGCGGAAGGCAAGCTGAGTGAGGATTCCGCAGAAGCGGACAAAAGTCCGTAGGCGCGCAGTCGCAGGTGCGGCCTTTTGATCGCAGAAGCAGACCAAAGGACTTAAGTTGCCCAAGTTCGCCCTCCGTGAACTGTCGTGACGGCACCTAGTCTCTACGACGTCACGACAGTTCACGGAGGGCGAACTTGGGTCATGACAAGTTGGTATCAGAGCTCTAGGTTCATAGGAGTCATGAATCACAAGCCAGTTTATTAGTGTCTCGTGGATTGGCACGGAGACGTATGTGCTTATCTACAAGAGGCTATGTAATTGTTAAGAAAAATTCCACTTCATTTGATTTCCTTATCGTGCAAGATTTTTGATATCGAAATTCTAAACTTCTATCTTCCATTCTCTCACAGATGGTGAGGACACGTGCTACCGGACGTGACCAGACACCCGCGCCCCCTGCGAGAGCCGTCAGAGGTCGGGGCTGGGGTAGAGGCCAAGGACACGCACGCGGTGCAACCAGAGCACCCGCGCGAGCTGGTACAGAGGAGCCACCAGCAGCTCCAGCCGGAGCACAGGCACCTGATACGCCTACTGCTACTACTACTCCAGCTCTCCAGGAGACTCTTGCACAGTTTATGAGTATGTACACACTCTAGCTCAGGCTGGGTTGCTTCCCCTTGTTGCAGCCACACCCCAGGCAGGGGGAGGAGCCCAGACTCCCGCCGCCTGCACTCCTGAGCAGCGAGTGCATGTTGAGCAGGTTCCAGAGATTGTACCGGCACAACCTGTAGCCCCAGTTCAGCTCGAGGAGAGGGCAGTAGCTTCAGAGGAGGAGCAGAGGAGGCTTGAGAGGTTCAAGAAGTATCAGCCTCCTACATTCAGTGGACTAGCATCAGATGATGCTCTGGGATTTCTAGAGGAGTGCTACCGTATCCTCCGTACCATAGGTATATCAGGATCAAGCGGGGTTTCCTTCACTACCTTCCAGCTTCGAGGAGCCGCCTATCAGTGGTGGCGTACTTATGAGTTAGACAGTCCAGATGAGGCAGCTTCCCTGACTTGGACTCAGTTTTCAAATATGTTCCTGAGAGAGTATATTCCTCAGAGCCTTAGGGACGCATGGCGCGCAGAGTTTGAGCATTTGCGCCAGGATACTATAACTATCTCGGAGTATGCTGTCCATTTCACTGACTTGGCTAGACATGCACCGGCTTTGGTTCCTACAGTTCGCGAGAGAGTTCGCCGGTTTATTGAGGGGCTCATTCCCAGCATCAGGTCTAGTATGGCTCGGGAGTTGGAGATGGACATTCTTATCAATAGGTGGTGAGCACTGCTAGGAGAGTAGATGGTATGCATGCTCGGGACAGAGAGGAGAGAGAGGCCAAGAGGTCTCGAGAGTCAAGTCATTATTCTGGTGCCCGTGCCTCAGCTGCAGCTCGTCATGGTAGGGGTTATATGAGTTGCCCCGTTCACTCAACTCTTCCAGCAGCCAGTGGTATCCCAGCTCCTCCTAGACCTCAGGAGCCTTATTATGCGCCTCCAATATCTAGTGCGCCTCCTGCACGAGGTGCTTTAAGTGGCTCGTCACAGCCGCCACATCCTCCCAGAGCTTGTTTTTAGTGTGGCGACACACGCCATATGGTGAGAGATTATCCCAGACTTAGGAAGGGTGCACCTCCACAGACTTCTCAGCCGCAACGTGCCTTGCAGAGTTCCCAGGCAATGGATACAGCACCAGTTGCTACCCCACCTGCCCCGCCAGCTAGGGGTGGAGGTCGGGGAGGCAGAGGTCGCCCTAGAGGGGGAGGCCAGGCCAGATACTATGCCCTTCCTGCCCGTACTGAGGCTGTCGCCTCCGATTATGTCATCACAAGTATTATCCTGGTCTGTCATAGAGATGCATCGGTATTATTCGATCCAGGCTCCACTTATTCTTATGTGTCCTCTTATTTTTCCCCGCATTTGGGCGTATCTCGGGATTTCTTGAGTTCTCCTGTTTATGTTTCTACTCCTGTTGGAGATTCTCTTATTATGGACTGCGTTTATCGGTCGTGTTTGATTGCTCTTAGTGGTTTTGAGACCAGAGCCGATTTATTAATTCTCAGCATGGTAGACTTTGATGTTATCTTGGGCATGGACTGGTTGTCGCCCCATTATGCTATTCTTGATTGTCACGCAAAAACCGTGACGCTGGCTATGCCAGGTGTACCGTGAGTAGAGTGGAGGGGTACCTTAGATCATACTTCCAGTAGATTTATCTCATTCCTTAAGGCTCAACGCATGGTTGAGAAGGGGTGTGACACGTATCTAGCTTATGTGAGAGATGTCAGTATTGATACCCCTACAGCTGATTCAGTCCCAGCAGTATGGGATTTCTCTTATGTGTTTCCAGCTGATCTTCCAAGCATGCCTCCTAATAGAGGTATTGATTTTTGGCATTGATCTGTTGGCGGGCACTCATCCCATTTTTATTCCTCCGTATCGTATGGCTCCTCCTGAGTTGAAGGAGCACTTAGAGGATTTGCTTGATAAGGGTTTTATTCGGCCTAGTGTATCACCTTGGGGTGCTCCTGTCTTGTTTGTGAAGAAGAAGGATGGTTCTATGCGTATGTGCATTGATTATCGCCCGCTGAACATTTACAGTGAAGAACCGTTATCCTTTGCCTCGTATTGATGACCTGTTTGATCAGTTACAAGGTGCCCGTGTGTTTTCTAAGATTGACTTGCGTTCAGGCTATCATCAGTTGAAGATTCGGGAGCCAGATATCCCGAAGACTACCTTCAGGGCTCGGTATGGTCATTACGAGTTCCTTGTTATGTCATTTGGGCTGACCAATGCCCCAGCAACCTTCATGCATTTGATGCACAGTGTATTCCGGCCATATCTTGACTCATTCGTCATTGTTTTATTGATGACATTCTGGTATAGTCCCGGAGTCAGGAAGATCATGAGCATCACCTGAGGACAGTGCTTCAGACTTTGAGAGAAAAGAAGTTATATGCCAAGTTCTCGAAATGTGAGTTTTGGTTGGATTCCGTGGCATTCTTGGGTCATGTGGTATCGAGTGAGGGGATAAAGGTGGATCCGAAGAAAGTGGAAGCAGTGCAGAGTTGGCCCAGACCATCCTCAGCTACCAAGATCCGCAGTTTTCTTGGCTTGGCGGGTTACTACCGTCGATTTGTTGAGGGATTTTCATCCATTGCAGCACCTATGACCAGGCTGACCCAGAAGGGTGTTCCGTTCCAGTGGACGAAAGAGTGTGAGGAGNCTATTCAGATTCTTGAGGATATACTCCGTGCGTGTGTGATGGAGTTTGGAGGTTCTTGGGATCAGTTCTTGCCACTGGCTGAGTTCGCCTACAACAACAACTACCAGTCCACCATTCAAATGGCACCGTATGAGGCCTTGTATGGTAGGCGGTGTAGGTCCCCGGTGGGTTGGTTTGAGCCGGGTGAAGCTAGATTATTGGGCACAGACTTGGTTCAGGACGCCTTGGAGAAGGTTAAGGTGATTCAGGATAGACTTCGTACAGCCCAATCCAAATAGAAGAGTTATGCGGACCGGAAGGTTCGTGATGTTTCCTATATGGTTGGAGAGCGGGTCGTGCTTCGGGTTTCGCCTATGAAGGGCGTTATGAGATTTTGGAAGAAAGGGAAATTGAGTCCGAGGTTTATTGGTCCTTTTGAGATATTGCGACGTGTTGAGGAGGTTGCTTATGAGCTTGCCCTACCTCCCATCTTGGAAGGAGTTCATCCGGTATTTCATGTTTCGATGCTCCAGAAGTATCACGGTGATCCGTCGCACGTGTTGGATTTCAGTTCAGTCCAGTTGGACAAGGATCTATCTTATATTGAGGAGCCAGTGGCGATATTGGACAGACAGGTTCGGAAGCTGAGGTCAAAGAACATTGCATCAGTGAAGGTTCAGTGGCGGGGTCAGCCGGTCGAGGAGGCGACTTGGGAGACCGAGCAGGATATGCGTAGCTGTTACCCTCATCTTTTCACCACTTCAGGTATGTCTCTATGCTCGTTCGAGAACGAACGAATGTTTTAAGAGGGGGAGGATGCAACGACCCGACC